GTGTGACGTGGCCGGCAAGCGTTTAAACGCATCTCATGCGAAAAGCCTAGTGGTTTCTCATTCTTCTGCCCGTTGCTCTGTTCAGATTAACGGAGTGGCAGCAGAGCAGGTACAAAAGTTCAAGTACTTCGGAGTCGTGTTTATTAGTGATGGAAAATTTGAGGAAAACATCGACAGGCGAATTGGAGCAGCCTGGGTCGTTCTGCGTAAACTAGCCCGAACCATTCCGACTAAATCAAAACTGAGTATGAAAACTAAAGTTTCGGTAATCAGGAATTCGACAGTTAAAATATTAATATTAATAAATTAGTGCTGAAGACATTAGGGTTTAACAGCGATACAGATTTTCAAGTTATGCATTTAACTGTAAGAGATACCGAAGACCAAGCAAAATTAAGCTGCGTTATTGCCCAGTTTACAGACATTATTATTCACAAACTACTGAACCGGTTTAAACATTTGTAACGTGATGATTTGTTCATAGACATACATTCACTTAAAATACATGACATTTCCCATAACGGCGAACCAATGTCAAAATGAGATGTCTTAAATAAAATCACAATGTTTAAAATATTTACCTGTTCATTTCCTACAGGTTTGGACGTAGTCACGTCTAAGCTGCTCCCCTTCAGCGACTTTCTGCACTGGCCGCACACTAAGCTCGATTTGAGCATTGAAATTTTACGTTGTAAAGCTTGAATTTTGGCCTAAAACAAAAGTTTGAGCAAAAACATAACAAAAAAACCAGCTGAGGATGACTAACGTTGGTAAAACTTCTGATTAAATGGTCAGCAACACGAAAGACGGGGAATATATTTTTGAACAAGACCGACGTTTTGACAAAACTGGCATCGAATACGATCATTTCAAAGGCTTTTTAAAATGTGCAGTAAACGTGGGATGATCGATTCGGTCGAAAAGGCGGATCTTCTTAAATAAGGAATTCATTTCTTGTTCTTGCTGCTGATTACTACGTTATCAAAGAAAGTATCGAACATTCTATACCTATCATAAAATTTGTTGATTAAAAGACGTGTAGTAGAAATATTAAAAATTTGGGCGGTAAATTATAGAAGGAAAAGTTAGCGAAAGTATGGGAGAATAAATCTCGGCAGAAAGCTAACAATGGTTGGTGGACTGTCGGTGACATAACGGAAGAATATCTAGCATTATTTACCAATGGCAGTAGTGTTAGAAATATTAACATTAGCAGAATAGCCGACATATTAACAATAATTATTACTCGTGACATGGCTAGTAAATACTAGTAGCATAACACTGTTCGTGGTAAAACTAACAGCTGTAGAGGTAGAAGCACAATTAAGAATAATACTCACACAGAAACTGCTAAAAGAATCAACGCTAAGACTACAATTTTCATTGATACTACTCAAACAGGTCATGTTCCTAAACTGAAACGACCGGTTCATGCGACAGTGAAATATCTCTTCATGTCAATCTGACTAAGAGAAAACAGGACCAACAGATAAATCGGTATTATTCGTATAACAAAGCATGCTAAATATTATGTTTACTAATCAGTTACTGCTTTTAATAGTAACTAACAATTCTGCGGCCATGACAATGATGAAATTGGAATCTAAAAAGAAAACATGATAACGGTCTTACGACTTTCCGCAAATGAATTCTGCGACCAACTTACATCCGAATTCGAATTATTATTCCAAAATAAAAAAGCCTGCATGAAATTTTGGGTTTACCAGCAAAAGCCAGGCTCTTACAACAGTGATCAGCACAGAGCCGTAAGGTTGCTCTGATTTTGTTCTAGCTAGATGCACAGTCTCAATCCTTTCAGCGGGCTACGGTGACCCCTTAAAAGATCGGCTTCAAAAGCAAGTGATGGAACCTGCATGATGGAATAACGTTGAACGAATCGGCAGGAATGAAACAAATACGTTATGAAGACAGAACCGGTAGAATGAAAAACAAGTTTTGACCATTAAAAGCTTCGTATTGCTGTCTATTCATATACTCGTAAGGATCGAGGTTTATAAACAGATGTTGTGATCAAGTTGCTGCTCAGACCAACAGTGCTGGGACTGCGCTTCAATGCAATACGGCTATTACAGTACCATGGAACTGTGGCTTATGTAATGGAACTAACGGCAGGGTCTGGTATGAAAAGTGATGCGAAGTAATAAGATGTCTAAGTTTTAGTTAAAGAAAAGCATGTGTAAAAAAGTAAATAGCAGCCCGAAGCTAGTTAAAAGCAAAGCAACGATAGGCAAACGCACATGATAACGGACGACGATGTCGCGGACTTTGCTCTGCACCGGATCGTCGATCTTGATCAGGCCATCGACATCGATCAGGCGCTTGGCAGGGGGCAGCAGCTTGCCATCGGTGCTGAACGTAGTCCTCGACGTGTAGCTGTTGCGATGCTCCCCGCCGTGTTTGGAAAAGGATACAGAAGACAGATAGACGTCGCATCGCGGCCTGGTGGTAGGCAGAAGCTCTTCTTCGTCATTTTCATTATCCTCATGGTCGCCCCTGCGGTTATGTACATGGCACTTGCTGTCGAGAGCGGCCACGAACCTCTTTACGCTTGAATCGCTTATGTCCGTTGTACTCGTACTCGTATCACAGTTGCTGCCGAAAACGCCGCCAACCAAATCTTTGTACCCAGGCAGCACCCGGTCTGAATCGGTGGCACCACAACCTTTGTCCGTCACTGATGCAAGGGCTCCCTGGTGACGTAAATCGAAATCTCCATCGTCAATCACTAAGTCTGCAGCCATTAACCCGTTGTATTGGGCGCCGCTACCATTCGACATGCGGTCTGCGACGACCAACCCTGTGGCATCATTCGCGGTAGAGTCCCTGGTGTCAAAATTGACTGTGTCCAGCATATTGCGCATGGTTTCTATGGCGTCTTCATCGACCGTCGCATCGCCGTTCATGTGCAAATCCGTACCTGTTACTACGACCTTTACGACCTCAGCACCTTGAGCAACGTCGCTGCCATTGTCGTACATCGACGACTTCAACAGCGGCGTCATGTTCGACTCACTGCCGGTACGATGAAGGAGTGGTACAGAAAACTGACCCCCGACTCCGGCACAATTCGCGCCGTGGTCGTTGAGCATGCCGCCGGACGAAGCGATGCTGTCGCAAGAGTGCGAACGCTGGACGCTTCGGTCGATATGTTTGTCGTCGACGGCGATAGTCGAATCGCGGCCAGCAGCCACACTTTGAGCATGGCACGGGTCGTTTACGGGATAATACATCGTGCGCCAGACTTCAGCAACGTCGCGCAGCCGGAAATTTGGCACCAGCACCGAACCGTCACAGCTGTACAACACGTTCGTGAACTGCAAGCTGTTTGAGCTCAGGTAAGCCCAGACGGAAAACGTACGCGACAGAACGTTCTGCTTCAACCGTTCACACATTGAATTACAGACGAACGTGCCAAACAGACCGGAATACGCGTGCTGAGCAAGCTTCGTCTAAAATGCATTAATGAAACTATAAATAAATGCATGCATAAATACGCAAACAAAATCTCTCACCAAGTAAGTTTCATTGAACTGAAAAGAGCAAGGGTAGCGCTTCAACAGGTGATGAACGCAGTCTAACCACTGTAAGAACACCGGCGACCTTTGATTAACGTCTCCGAATTGCATACCTGACCTTTCCGCGAATTTATGGCCAAAACCAACCCATTCTCTTTCTATCAAATGTCGAAATCCCTAAACATGAAATTATCAAATCAAGAAAACATGTAGCAACTCATAACTTGCATTAATGTCGAGCTACCTATACTAGTTTTCCTCCACCATTTAAGTCTAAACAAAAACACGACAGCTGTTACGAAGAAACATCACTGACTTATTTAGCTATACTTAATGACAGTGAGTGCTCATAAGTTGAACTAATAACCGACAAACAATTAATGAATCTCACAATAAATGTGAAAGTTAATCAGTGGAACTATTGGCATTACTGAGGCAAAATTCCACTAATGAATACCAATCTCCAATCATCTGCAGCCGTAATCTCCTCCCAGTTCTCCGCACGGAGTAGTAATACCGTTTGCCCGTTTTTAAGAACCAAGGGAACGGTTAAGCAGACCACGACTATATGAAGGAACGATTATGCGGTGCGAATTCAGAGAAGAGAAAGGATAGTAGTATTCTTGCCAGTGGCACTGAAACTAGAAGTTTATTAGCAAACCCATACTTACGGGGTTTAATCTAATTATGTATCCCTATCGATCGCGGTATATCGATTGGTGTTCGAACGTTTTTATACAGTCGAACACAGTGATGCCGCAGTGCATTGCTTTTATACAAAAGAAGTGCTAAAATATCATGGAGCCTCCGCCTGCCTAAACGGTCTCCTAGACTAATATAGGCAAGGGATCAGTGCAACAATACGGCGCAAATGACAGGAGATCGCTATTCTTGCCGGCAGTACCGATAACTAGCAGCTGGCTACTAAACCCGGTATATATAATTTCTGTATATACTATTATAATGTATATACCGTTTTAAATAGAACAAATATTAGTATACTGTAATACATAGTTTAAACTCAGTGCAAGAACATTACATCAGACGCAATGCATCGTACAGTTTCTGTTGATTATGCAAGTAAACCAACAACAGTGCGGCTTATTTGCAGATGTTTCATTTTCAGCTATTTACTTTATATTAACATTTAAATAATGTAATTTGCAATTATTTATAATTATTTAGTGCATTATAATCAAATTTATACAATTCACATATTATTCATAACCAAGATAAACATTCTATCTTCATGGAGGGAACTTTACTGCTGCCAGAAGGAACAGAATCAGAATGGTGGTATTACAGTCAGGAAAGTTATCTAAGCGTAAAATTTAGTCATTTCTTTATTGGCGGTTCTTAACTTTGCACTGAGCAGAAATCTGCATCGAACCAGGTCTGCTAAACTTGAGGTATCACAGTAACGCAAATCTAATTTAAATCGAACCCTGTGTACCGATGTACCTTCAAATTCTCTTAAATTTCAATATTCTAGTGTTGTAGATTCCATTGTATAAGAAG